CTTCCCTGCTAGCTGCTCCTCTGTTCAGGCAGCAAATTATCATCATGTTATTCTGACTGAATGCTTGCAGAAAGGATATGATAAAAAAAATCCGACAACCCTGCTTCCTTGGCAGAGGCAGTCCCGAAGGCTGCCTGTTGAGTGAGTAACCGTTTACACAGCATTATCACGCTCTGCCACAACGGCACGGCGAGGGCAGCCTGGGAGAAAAGTAAGAGGGATCTGCTCCTCTGCATTTAAACTTTCGATCTGAAGATCTAACCAGGGGATTGAGCTGCTGGCAGGGTAGGCCCGATAGGGAACACAACAAGGTTATAATTGTTTATTTTTCATTATAACATTCCTTTCTGTTGTAGTTTGAAGACGGATACTCAAAGCCCTGCAAGTCAGATTAAAGCGTAGGTACCAGCAGTGCATGCCAAGGCTCTGCTTCCAGGATCATGAAAGGATGCCAAGCCGTTCTGCTTTCAATTACACAAGTATAATACCTCCTGCTCCAACGACTGCAAGCACGGACTCGACTGCTTTTCCTCTCCCGCCGTTTCCAGGGGCAGTTAGGAGAAGAGTCCCCGGGGCTCAGTCCAGCGGCCCTGCTGCGGCTGAGCTGATGTGCTGACACACCCTGGTTACCAGGGGTAAGTATCAGGAAGCGCTTCTGCCCTGCTTGCGAAGGTTTGGAAAGCGTTTCTGCTCATATCGCAGGCTGGCCAACGGATTCGTGAGCTCCCTCCTCTTTCTACGCCTTTTCTTTGACATAGGGGTCTGGGGCAGGGTGGTGTCTGGGTTGGGCACCTTCCTTACTGCTCACTTGTCCTTTCTCAGCAGAAAAGCCAAAAGCAGCTCCAAGTGTGGACACTGACATAAAGGAGGAAGGGTGGGGACGGACTGCGGGATCCTCTCTCGTGGGACTGGGAAGGGGAAGCACTTTAAAGAGCGTGAAACGCCCACATACTGCAGGAGATGGAGAAGTTGGGACCTCTGGCTGGCAGCGGGAGAGAGCTGCAGGGCTCCAGCAGCTGGAGTCTGATCCTAAAGCCACATTCCCTTGAGTAACACAACGCAGCTGCAGAAAGAGAAGGCAGTGGGGATATAATAGTGAAATAACCCTTGTAACTCTGGTGGCAGACTGACTGAGGAACAGTGTTGCCACTTGCTTCATGGTTTTTGATCAGCAAGTCCATCCCCATGGGGTTCTGTCCCCTTGGGTTTCTGTGCCACCAGAATATATTTCTGTTTTTACACCTATTCTGGTCAACCCCTATCTAGAACAGCCCCCATTGCTGGTCGCTGCTCTGTCTAGCAGCAGCAGCAGCAGTTTACTGGTGGCAGAGGGGGGGGGCAGGAGCCTGTCCCTTCCTGCACGCAGAGGCAACACGGGGACCCGGTGCTGAGTCGCAGGAGGCAGGGATGCTGAACAGGCTGTAGCTGAGGCTCAGGGAAGAGTCAGCTGAGGGACATGTGTGCTTTTTGTGCTGCTGTCGGATCAACAGCAACACTTAAAGCAAGAGAGGCTTCAAAATGATGACCGCAGCTCTGTCTCAGCCCTATCTATCTGCCAGCAAAGGCTTGTGCAGGGTCTCTGCTGGGAACATCTGCAGTGACAAAGGCACAGGCTTGTCACAGATCTGTGCCCTTCTGCCAGGAAAAAGTAATGTGCTGGCACAGGTGGAGGTGTGCACCTTTTTTAAATGCTATAAAAGAGAAAGAATAATCACACCTTAAACTCGGACGAGGAGAGAAAACACTCACAAGGGGCAGCTTTGTTCAATGCTAAACACGCAGTTACTCTGGAGATAAAGCAGATGAACAGTATTGTCACCTTAAAAGACAGCAGTTTTCCCCTACTTTACACTCTTTGATTTCAAAATAAGTTGTTCTGAGTCCAGACTGCAGCTCAGTTTGAAAGCTGATACTCTTGGAGGCAGCTGGCTGGTACTTGCCCCTCTGTGTGTGGGGCAGCTTGTGGAGGCCATTTCTGGCCACCTTGGGCATCCTCGGACCTTCCTGACTCCATATAACCTGATAAATCCTGACAGTTTGACCTGGAATGAGAAAGTGAAAAGTTATGCTGCTTGTAGACTTTTTTCCCTACTGATGGAAATAAGCATAAGGGTCACCCTGATTTCATGGCTTTTTAAGCAGCTTGCTAAAATGAACTGCTTGGTTTGTGAACTGCAGCATCGGAAGGTGGGCAGGATCACTCTGATCTTCTCTTTCCAAGAGAAGCCAGAAACCCAGCCCAGTTTAGAAGCCCAGTGGGCTGAGGCTGGATGTTAGGAGAAAGTTGGTACTTCTTAAAAAACAGCTGGTGCCTACCTTGAGTCTCTAGGAATGCATGGTGGTGAAGCTGTAACACACAAAGAAACGTGCCTGCTATGCATTCGGTGAAGTACATGGCCTCATATGTGGTTGTCTTCAAAGCTCTTCACAAATTTAACTAAAGAATCATAGAATCATAGAATGGTTTGGGTTGGAAGGGACCTTAAAGATCATCTAGTTCCAGCCCCCCTGCCATGGGCAGGGACACCTTCCACTAGATCAGGTTGCTCAAAGCCTCATGCCTTGAGCACCTCCAGGGACTGGACATCCACAACTTCTCTGGGCAACCTGTTTCAGTGTTTCACCACCCTCATTGTAAAAAATTTCTTCCTTCTATCTAATATAAATCTACCCTCTTTTGGTTTAAAGCCATTGCCCCTTTTCCTATCTATATTTAACTTTATCAAGGAATTGCAATTTTAATGACAAAAACTTATAGGAATGAGCCATGTCAAACTCAGAATTAACATTTTTTAAACATTTTGAAACTGAAAGTCTTTCCTGTTGAAGAACAAGAACCATTCCAGCTGGGAAGTGCTAGAGGGAAGAAGAGGCAACTTTGGGGAAGTTGATGACACCCCTTCACTAAAACACTGGAAACCACTATTTCCCTTCTCTGCTGTTTCCCACAGCTGCTCCATCTGTATTTTAAAATGTTATGCTTATCATCCATCCTCTGTAACAGACAGAAAATAGGAAGGTATCTCAGTCTTTCAATTCCTTTTTTTGGAGTTCTTCACCTAATCTGCAATGCTAATTTCAACCCAGTGGGACTGAAGGTTGTTACGAGACGCACTTGGGCTCCTGCCTGGGCTTTGCCACCCTTGAGCATGTGGATGCTACCGTGGGCCCTCTGACATGTGGCCAAGCAGCTGGCAGGAATCTGTGTGCTCCCAGGCAGGTAGCTCTTGATGCAAGCGGGCAGCAGACTGTGACAATTTCTGTGCACAGAACGAAAGTAGAAATGGCAGTAGGAAGATTTGGTGTTTGAATTTAATGGGTTTCCCTTCCAGAGCTGGTAGGAAGACTTCCTACCCCTTCCTGCATGCAGCATGCTTGGCCTTTCAGCCAGTCACGTGTTTCCATTCAGTCAAGCTAAAAGCAGTATCATCAAACCTCCATTCTTGGATATTTACAGAGGGATACTTTCTTTCAAACTGTCTTTTTTTCAGACAGAATACTGCTCCCATTCTTAAGCATTTCTGTTTCTTGATAATGTATGACTGCAGTGTCCTACGAAATGGAACAACGCTGAGTGTTTTTCTAGCACTCTCTAACTAAACAATCTGACTCTGACATTTATATTAATATAAAATACATATCAACCTGTATATGATAACATTTTACAGAACCTATACAGCAAAATAACTCAGCTGTGCTGAGATGTTCTGTTGCTCATTACAGTTAACACCTCCACCCCCCAACATGTACCAAATAATTAGGATTGAAAGTGGAGACGCAGGGAGGTGAGCGCGGTTCTGCCTAGGAACTAGCTCTGCACTTAACGCTGGCGGAAGCGATTGTGAAAGAAGGACTTGCGCAAAATGCTTGCATCAGCCTTCCCAGTGATGGGTGACGGCTGACAAAAGGAGAGAGTTCTATCACTGAATTTCAGCTTGCGAAGAAGAGAGTGCAAACACCATCTATGCTCGGTTTTGTGTCCCCTGTCAGCAGCAGCAACAGAAGTGGTCAAAACGTAAGTTTGAAGGGCAGAGTCACATGTGCTGGATGATGCTGAACTCTTCAGAAGCCATGGTTTCCTTAGGGGAGCATCTACTAAACAAAAGCCATGCAAACTGGTGTGCTTCGCTGGCTGAGTAGTTAGAGGACATTGGGAAACTGTCAACATAAAGTTTTGTTTGAGGAACATGAGCTGAAACATTTTCTCACTCCAGGACTGTCATCGCATCCGACCTGCCAAAGGATTTCCAGCTTTTGCAGGTGCGAAGTGACCACTCAGATCCCAGAGCAGGCAGCCAGCGCACGAGGAGACTGAAACACAGCATGCAGTACACAAGGTAAGTGTTTACTCTCTGCATGTTCAGGATTTGGGGATACTGTTTGCCTGCAGTACTGAAGCTGTTTACAGCAGCTTGTGGGCTTTAATGAGTGACTTATTTACTGGTGTAGCCAACGGTGAAATGTTCTTTGGCACTTGTGGAAGGAAATAGCCCTTCTGTAAATTAAAAAATTAGAAAATCAGTATTGTTCTAATTACAGCCACTGTTTATATGGTGATGGTAACATCCAGTTCCCATCTACCACCAGTGTCGATTTACAGAAAAGGGCGACAGACCTGCTTGGTTGCATATCAGCTTGTTCTGCCTTTCCAGTAAAGAATGTGAGTTGCTTACACAGCGTATAAAAGGGAGTGCCAGGAGCTGTGCAGCTCTGCTTTTTAGAAGCCCTGAGGCTGGTGAGACTCCATGCAGGGGACCCCAAAATCTCTTCCGGGAAAGTTTGCAGCGTCAGAAGCCACAGCCTGCTCGAAGGGCTGAGAAGGCAGACACGCTTAGTTTGGGGTTCTGCCTGGTGGGCAGCCATACTAGATGGACGGGCTAATGCTGCAAAGGCTGTGAGCATTTAGAATCATAGAAGGCTGGAAAAGACCTTTAAGATCATTGAGTCTAACCATTACCTAACACTGCCAAGTCCACCACTAAACCATGTCCCTAAGCACCATGTCGACACGTCTTTTAAATCCCTCCAGGGATGGTGACTCAACCACTTCCATGGGCAGCCTGTTCCAGTGTTTGACAACCCTTTCGGTGAAGAAATTTTTCCAAATATCCAATCTAAACCTTCCCTGGTGCAACTTGAGGCTGTTTCCTCTTGTCCTATCACTTGTTACTTGGGAGAAGAGACCAACACTCACCTTGCTACAATCTCCTTTCAGGTAGTTATAGAGAGTGATAAGATCTCCCCTCAGCCTCCTTTTCTCCAGGCTAAACAATCCCAGTTCCCTCAGCCGCTCCTCATAAGACTTGTGCTCTAGACCCTTCACCAGCTTTGTTACCCTTCTTTTAACAAGCTCCAGCACCTCAATGTCTTTCTTGTAGTGAGGGGCCCAAAACTGAACACAGTATTCGAGGTGTGGCCTCAGGAGTGCCAAGGACAGAGGACAATCACTTCCCTAGTCCTGCTGGCCACACTATTTCTAATACAAACCAGGATGCTGTTGACTTTCTTGGCCACCTGAGCACACCACTGGCTCATATTCAGCTGTCTGTTGACTACCACCCCTAGGTCCTTTTCTGTCAGGAAGCTTTCCAGCCACTCTTCCCCAAGCATGTAGCGTTGCATGGGGCTGTGGTGACCAGTGCAGGACCAGGCACTTGGCGTTGTTGAACCTCATACAGTTGGCCTCGTCCCATCGATCCAGCCTGTCCAGATCCCTATGTAGAGTCTTCCTTCCCTCAAGCAGATCAACGCTCCTGCCCACCTTGTCGTCTGCAAACTTAATAAGGGTGCACTCAATCCCTTTGTCCAGATCATTGACGATCTAAACATCTTCCCCTGTTTAGGGTTGAAACATCCAGCCATAGCTTCATTGCTGAGAGGAGATGTAATGCAAGACATAAAATAGGTGAGAGCCATAGTCAATGCAGATATGAAAAGACAGGATGTTGAGAATGATGCTTTAAGACTGTTGAGACATGATATGGCTGTACTAAAGAGATGATTACCACGCCATGTTTGCAGGGCTGAGCAGCAGAAGTAGGAGCAGAGATCTGATGTCTCAGGATAATGCTTACAAGAAAATATTTGTATCTGAATTTCCTAATAAAATTGCACAGGTTTTCAATTGTTTTCTGCTGCTCTTCAAAACTAAAAAATCTACACTACCTTCTCTCCTTTCTGTTTCCTACAGCAAAATGTTCACACAAACAAAATGCAAATCAACAACTATAGACACCTGGCGAGCGTGGGCCATCTACATGGTCCTAGCTGCAAACCTCTCTGAAGAGCAAGCACTGAAGCAGGCTTGTCCTTCATGTGATGCCACTCAGCTTTGCAACTGCTCTTCCATGGGCTTGAACTTTATTCCCTCAGGGCTCACGGGCAAAATCACGGTGTTAAACCTGGCCCACAACAGGATAAAGCACGTCCGATCCCAGGATCTGCAGCAGTCTGTGAACCTGAGAGCTCTGCTGCTGCAGTCCAACGAAATCAGCTCAATAGATGAGGACTCATTTCGCTCCCTTGGGAAACTGGAGCTCTTGGACTTATCAAATAACAGCTTGGCTCACTTGTCCCCTGCATGGTTTGGGCACCTTTTCTCACTCCAGCATCTCCACCTTCAAGGGAACTCCTACAGAGATCTGGGGGAAAGCTCTCTCTTTTCTAAGCTGAGGAACCTGAGCTCTCTCCACCTGGGCAACCCGTGGGTCTCCACGATAAGGCAAGGAGACTTTGAGGGCATTGCGGTTCTCGACAAGTTGTGGATTGACGGTGGCAATCTCAGTCGGTACGAGCCAGGAAGTCTGAAACCAATTAAGAAGATAGATCACATGATTATAAACCTAAGAAATATTTCTGCATTCTCAGCAATTGTGAGGGACCTTGTGCACTCTGTCATTTGGTTAGAAGTAAGAGAAATCATATTGCGGGTTGAAAAAAAAAGCTTGGTGGAGAACTCTACACTTCCTTTTAGAATACGAAAACTTACATTTAAAGATGCTGTGTTCACAGATCAAGATATTACCCAAACAATAGTATTACTGAAGGAAATCACGTCTTTGCGAGAGATAGAGGCAATCAATTGTGTGCTTGAGGGGAAAGGAGAATGGAATATTAGTAAAACTGACACCAGTGCGCCAAGTTCTGTTGAAACAGTATCAGTAATAAATATAATGATTCGGAATTTTCACTTGTTTTTTGACCTGAATGGTATGGAGACACAAATAAACAAACTTAAAAGACTCACCATTGCAAGCTCTAAAGTTTTTATGGTAGCATGCAAACTTGCAAAACATTTTTCATCACTTCTGTATCTGGACTTCAATGATAATTTGCTTGTAAATAATCGCTTAGACGAGACAATCTGTGAAGGTGCTTGGCCTTCATTGCAAACTTTAAATCTAAGTCAAAACTCTCTGAAATCTCTGAAACAGACAGCAAATTCTGTAAATCGTCTACCCGAACTGATTAATCTTGACATTAGCCAAAATAAGTTTGGTGAGATTCCAGATGCATGTGAATGGCCCAAAACCCTGAAATACTTAA